TACTCCAGATAGGCTGACTTGTATTACCATATCTGAAAAAGTTAGATGTAAATATCAAAATCATTTGAAATGGATAAATACAATGAATCATATCTCCTTGAACCAGAGTCATATCAAAGCTGCCTACAAATAGTATTAGCATCACTTGTACTAAAACCAGTGCTGCATATTGTCCCCCACTGTCCATTACAATAAACCTCAACACGTCCCTCATTAGAATAATATCCACCTTGAAGACGTACCATACCAGCATATGGATTACTGTTCCAGATTCTAGTGACATCTAATAATACTGATAAATACATTGTAACAATAATAATATCTTACAGCAGTATACAGTAGCATCATAACTGTTACTGTTAACACAACCACTGTCAATGTAAGTAGAGTAGGAACATTGAGCAATAGATAAATAGCTGCTACTGACACAGTTAACATCATCCCATTTCATAGAGAGATAGTCTGTACCATAACTACAAACAATAATAGTTATGATAATTGATAAATAAATACCTTGTTAGTCCAGCTCTAGAGTAGCTTGAAGCTCCAGTGTATCCCAACTGATGACAAATGACATTAGCTTCGGTGTAGCTATAATAGTAGTCATCACATATGTTACCCCATCCATTATAATACACTCTAATTGTTCCATAATAATAAGAAGGTGATGGTACGTTGTCGCGAGTCAAAACGAGTGCTCCTTTTGAAACAGAGTCTAATTTATAAAATTTTTAAAACTATTATTACACAATCATAGGAATCAACTGACTAAGAATAAGTCCAGAACAAGTGGACTGAGTAACAGTTTGTCTGGAAGAAGATGAAATGTCTCCTAAGTAAGTATTACAATATCAAGCAACAACAACTTATTTCACTAACTGCATGTAAGTGTAACATCATTTAACTGAGAGCAGTTGGTCACTGAAGCTGATGGACAAGTGTTTCCGGAACCAAAACACCTATGACTTGCTGTACTATACATGTTAGTGTTCCATATAGGCTGAATTGTGTTATTAAATCTGAAATAAATCCCAAAAATGATTTTAAACAATCAATAAAACTAACATTGAGGTGTGATTAAATTTGTCATAAGAATCATATCCCAGTTGCTTGCATATAGTATTAGCATTATTTGAGTCAAACCCATCACTGCATATCATCCCCCACTGTCCATTACAATAAACCTCAACATGTCCTTCATTAGAATAATCTCCATCTTGAAGACGCACCATACCGGCATATGGATTACTGTTCCAAATTCTAGTAGTATCTGTAATAATACTGATTAACACAATCTAACAATAATAATATCTTACAGCAGTATACAGTAGCATCATAACTGTTACTGTTAACACAACCACTGTCAATGTAAGTAGAGTAGGTACATTGAGCAATAGATAAATAGCTGCTACTGGCACAGTTAACATCATTCCATTTCATATAGAGATAGTCTGTACCATAACTACACAACAAGAATAGTAACTATACAAGTAACAAACACACCTGACACGAACAGCTCTAGAGTAGCTAGAATATCCAGTGTATCCCAACTGATGACAAATGACATTAGCTTCAGCTGAATTATAATAGTAGTCATCACATATGTTACCCCATCTATTA